CTGTGCCACCTCTGTTCCTGTACCATTCTGTCATTAGCCTAAGAGCCAGGGAAAACCATCATACCAAGAGAGTTTCCCTTTGCCAGCATAGTATGACACAACTAACGTTTGTCACATTAACAGCCCTTGTATATCACCAGAAAAGCGCAAGAGGACTGAAAAACAGAAGAGTAATTAACTCACTCAATGGACAATGTACCATTACTTTCTTCAGGGATCCAGTTGGATTAAAGGTCTCTGCTGTGAGGGACCCCATGGAGATCCTTCTTCATAAGAGACTTCAGGCAGCTACTGTGCATGTTAGTGTTAGCAACAGGGGTTTAAAATGAGCAAATGAAAATGACCCTCAAGCTCTGAATGAGAACCAAAGGACATCCTCAGGTGGTCAGGAGTGGGACTATCCACAGACTGTAATAATGGCAATCCCAGGTTTAGGATCAGAGCTATAAGAGCACAGTTGAGATCTAGACAAGCTGTAGATTCATTTGTAGTTGTACATGGGGTGGTGGTGTGGAATGTAAGGTCTCCCCAACAGAAAGATCTTCATCCTTCAAGAAACTTCCTTGCTGAGTTCTGTTCCTGTTTTGCATTCAGCTGCTCCTATCTCCTTCCTGCTTGTCAACCCCTTCCCTTGTAACAAGGCCACAGAACCTTGAAGTCCCTGAGCCTTTGTGGAATGTCAAATGGCTGTTCAGGGAAGTTGTAGGTACTCAAGATGGGTCCTTGTTTCTTTTAATCCTTAAACAAGGGTAGCAGGGAGGAAGACAATTTGTGTTCTGGAGGAGATGGCCAGTGACCTAATGTGACCAAAGGAAACAGCACTATGTCTCTTAATTGCTGTGTTTCTGATCTAGGGCTGACAAGACCCCGTCTTCTTTATGTCAAATGTCAAAGAATCTGGCATGGTTCATGTAGCCAGATATTGACTCATGGGTAAATATGCATGGATACCATGCTAAGAATTGTGGAGTTTCTCTCAGCCCTGTTTCAGTCAAAGTGGTTACGACCTACAGAATTTTCTATAAGGACTGGAAATGGCACTGGATTTCCAATCCTGTAAGGACTGAAAGTGGTCCACCCTGAGAGTGCCTTTCAACTCATCCAGTCATTGGGGTAAGTGACCGCTTCACAGCTCTGTAGACACATGGGAGAAAAAAGGGGGTGGGGCAGGAAGACATCTAAGGTAAGAAGGGTAAACCAGGAACTTGTTTCTTCACAGTTCTTGGAGAATGGCAGTGTTTGCTTAAGGGAAGAGGACTGGGATGACTTTCCCAGTGTAGGAACCACTTCTGTACAAGTGCCAGAATTCCAAGCATAGACTGAGGTCAATGAATATATCATACAATTATGTCCTCTGATACTCTGAATGTAAGATGCAGTTCAAATAGGTGGAGATTAAGTGTCAAGACTAGCTTATAATCAAAACCAGCAGCACTGGTAAAGTCACTATGACAGTGTGCAACCATTTCCTGTAACAAAAGAGATGAGCCATGCAGCAAGTACATGGGCACTCTCTACTGTGCTTCTCCACAATAAGCAGAGCATACTGATGTAAAATCCAGCAGTTCTCCAAAGTTGTTTTTTTGTTTGGTTGTTTGTTTTTTTCTCAGAATCCCCCACCCCATTTTGAAATTCAGAGTTTGCTTGGAAACACCTGAGGCATTTTAATAGTACTTTTCTACAAAATTAGAAAGATAGGAAAAAAAGAAAGTGAAAATCACACAAATGAGGTAGTTGTGAAACAAACTACTCACCTGGGAGATCTGATGAATACTTTCTTTAGCCTCTCAGCCAAATCTCTGCAGGAGACTGTTTAAAGCTGGTGCAGTTAACTAGGTATTCGCAGATAGGACAGTTACGGAAATAAGGTGCCAAGCTGAGAGTCAGAGGATTTTGTTGTAAATAACCTCTTAAATAGCAGTGGGCAAGTGACTTCACTGCATGGTAGATTTACCTACCTGTAAAAAAGAGACAACATTGAGTTTTCTTCATGACACAGAACCTAAAAGAACAAAAAATGCTGTACAAGCCTTATTCAGATTCTGCTAGCAGGGATGGACAGACTCACGTGAATTCGGTAGGCCAGAATCGAGCCTTAGAAGTTATAAGCACCTAGAAGTAGTTGTCATTGGCATAACTAGATGGATAGTCACCAAACAGTAATGGTTTCAGCTGTTTTGCTTTATCTGGAGTTCTCTCAAACCCCAAGTCAATCTTGGAAAAAGCAAAGATGCAAATTGAAACCTAAATCAACTTAAAATAACATTTCATTCCATCTTTAGGCCTCATTCCTGAGGCATGTAGATCTGCTAATGAAAACAATGGGAACTTCTAACTGTGGGCTGATGACATCAGTGATGTTTTCTTTATTCCCATAACAGACTAATCACATATTAAATATGATGTGATTGCCAAGTTCTACCTTCACAGAATTAGGTACTGCAGGCAGTGGTTTGGAACACAACTACTCAACTTAACGCTTATATACACCAGCAATAGATGCATTCTTCTACGCTGGTAATTTTTCTGCTTCCCCAATATTTAGCAAAATTGTCATTGTGGATTAGCATTGGTATCCAGAATGTGATCCCTAAGGCATGGCCCATGCACAGAATATTCAAGGGACATTAGTAGGACAGTTCAGCAATTTGTCCGTATCTCCAGCTACTCTGTTCTCTTCCTAGAAATAAAATAACAAGGTTGTGGATTTTTAACAACTATAGAGAAAAATTCATCAGTGCTAAGGGACCCTGAGGAGGCTGCAAGAGCAAGTTCCAGCTCAAGTTCCTAGGGATGTATAATGCTATTTAAGAAATTAATTCCAAGAAGGTCAATTTTCTTTTAATTCAAGCACAACACAGCCTGAAAGCTGCTTCCAAAATGATCAATGGCTGTTACCAGCGAGCAGCCTGACCCACAACCACGCTGCTTAGAGGTGTTTTGAGCTCCAGAAATGGACCAGTGCCCCCTCCATCACTAACAGTTTAGTTTGCAAACCCAGGCTCAGGTGTAGCAGTGGGAGTCTCAGAGATTTCAATGCAGAGCTCTGCTGACACAGCTGCCTCCCTCATTTCAGGATTAGACCCATCAGCTTGTAGCAGTAGAGGCTTATGAAGAAGCCCAGTTCTTTGCTCATCCCCATGAGGACAGCAGCTCTCCCCAAACACAGTTAAGTGATTTTTAAATCAACAGCTCAGTACCTGCAATGTCACGGTTACTATGGCAGCCGTGCCAGGTTTTTGTGCAAAGAGTGGTATTAAATAGCAGTGAGTATTATGAGCAGAAAGGAATTGCAACTCAGTGCAACCTTAAAACTTCAGAATCCTATTGAAATTAGTGTCTACAAGTATTAAAATGCACCTGTAGCTTTTGCCATTTTTAAATGTATTGAGACACCTAATTATTTCATTGCTCACAAAACAAAACATTACTACCTCCCTCCCTGGGGAAATAATTGGCTAATTCTGCATGGAGAAGAAAGGAGGCAGAGGTGCAGAAAAGACTGCTTATGTTGTGAGAAACCAGTGACATCTAAATAAAAATAAAGACATAGAATGCAATTACTGGTGCATGGATAGATGCATAGTATGTGTCATATATGTGCGTGTGTGTGTGTGTGCAAAGCAACAAATATAACTTGAAAGGGCTGTTGCCTACTACTCATCTATGTTGTCCATCTGAAACCAGAGAATCAGAATCATATCTCCAAACCATACCTAATGTATTTTTTCTTCTGGGCTTGTTTTATTACTTGGCTTCAAAACCACTGAAAAATAAATGACAGTATCATGTAGCGTTTAGAACAAGCTGGTAGGCAAATCTGGAAGAGGGCCTGAAATTAAGTCTATCTGTTGAGTTTGTCTTTCCTTAAAGACTTGCAGGACCACCCATCGCCTTACAGTGTCTAGGTAATAAGCATTGTGCAACCGAGGTGTAGGATGCTGCCAATACCACTCAGTTAACATATCTCAGCATTTGTGAAACTTCAGAAAGCACATTTTGACTGGTTTTTCCTCCTTTCAACCAAAAAACTCATATTGAGCTGTGCCATATTTCGAGTATATTCTCAATACACTAATTTGCACTTTAAAACCCTAAACTAAATCCTACACTAAATAGCACTTTAAATTGTTTTATAAATGTCAAACAAGTCACACAGAGAAAACATACCATTCTCAGTCTATCCTCATGGGAATGTGTGGAGCAAAATGGGCAAATCTGACAACCTATTTTCATTATTTACAGCCAAGAGTAAATTTTACTTTATCTGTTTTCCAAATTCATGGCCTGCTGTAGTGTTTTCTATATGTAGTGTCCTGTGCTGCCATTGCAAATACTGTATGTGTTTCAAAGGAGAACATCAGAAAATTGATTGCTTTTTTTAAAATCCACATTCTGCTGTCGTATTTCCATATGTAATATACTCTGTGTGTCTAAAACTTGTACAGCCATTCTGCATGACTGATACCGGAAATGCTATAAAACAATCTGGGTAAATTTGGGGCAGGGGGAAGAGCAGGAATTTTCCTCTCAGTAATATTGCACACAGGAATAAATCAGCACAAACAGAATATACTCAAATACTAAACCACAACTCACAGTCCACTGCCTCTCCAAAGCTCTGAGTGACAGTAGGCTTCATGACAAACAGGTCATTCATGCACCATCCTATGTCATGCAAAAACATAATCCAATCTCTAACCGCAGTCTTCTGCTCGCAGGACTAGGAACCAATGCACGCCCGTTTCTGAAACTGCCCCTCTATGCGGAAGTACAGGTGGCTGCTGTTACACCTAACACAATCACATTTTGTTTCTCCTCCCACTTAACAGACTTTATTTTATTTTGGTGCAGTGCACATCAACGCAGTGTCTAGGACAGATGTGTTACCTTTTATAGTGTCGCTATAGAACTCTTTAGCCGTGAACCCTTAATTTGCAGCTGGAACTCTAATAAACAGTGCATAGTGTTTCAATAGCCTTCTGCTTATATGTTTGAAGATTCGAAACTGAATGGTGAGGTGGCCAAGGCGGCGCTGGCAAACGAAGACTGTCCCCACATAGACCAGGCTATTACGCCTGATGAGGGCCTGCCCTTTACCCGCTCTGGCACTCGGGAGAGATATGGACCCTGCTTCCTCTTATCAACCGGGGAATATCCCTGCCCGCCTGATGGAGGAATAAGAAAGGGTATGTAGCTGGGGTCCTGTAACCATGTAGTTAGCAACCGTTTTAAATAAATAAGAGAAAGTCAGCTGTAGCTGTAGCACGCAATAGTGCGCTTGCTGTACAGATGCACGTTTGGGCTGGAAACCACCACCTGATGTCTGCATTTGGAGTTTCTAACCTATTTCTTTCAGAAAGAAAAGCCTGAGGAGCTGTAACTACCCCATGCAGCTATGCTAGGCAGTCAAGTCTTTCACCCCAGCTGGTACAGTAAGCTTTAGTGGAGGATGCTCTACCATGTCCTTAAATTAGCCCATCCTCCAAGGAGAGGCCAATTTCATAGCAATGAATGTTTGCCACTTGGAAAGCTCACAGATCTTACCAGACTCTGAGGAGCACAGACTTGGAGGTGGCAGACAGAAAAGATAAAACACAAAAGCAAAACATCCTCAAGAAATATGAAATAATTATTTGGCTACCTTAACAGAGCACTAAAACAAATTATTTGAATATTCATAGCTGTTTAGTTCAAAAGAGAAAGTGAAGCATACAAGAACATCTGTTAGCACAGGTGTCTTACAATTGGAAAATAATCCATCTAAAATCACTTTCCTTTCATAAATAAATCATTACTAGTTAGTTTCTCAGACTTGACAGCTACAGATCTCAGAAGTAACTGCATTTTAGTTTGCTAATGGTCAGAATAATCTATTTAGCAACAGAAGTCAAATCAAATGAGGAAACCCTCCCTTTCTTAAAATAGGCTATTTTGTTTAATTAATTAAACACGAGGAAACCATACAAACCAAAATTAGAGTTGCATAGATATGCATCAAAGCTGATAAGGAATGGGAAAACTGGAAAAGAAATCTCTCTCTTCAAATCAGTGTTTATCACTGGTCTACTGTATATAGTATATGATATAGTCAATATTTTAAAACTGCAAAGATTTTATGATGTAACCATACACTGAGTATGGAGTATAGAATTCCCATGTGCCATTGTATGATGGGCAATAGTTATAGTAAATGCCAGTTATAGATAATGTATGTATTTATAAGTTTAAAATTTATCATCAACAAAGATATAGTTGGACCACAAGACTTTCATATGAAAGTATATCCTCTAAAATTTACCTTTGTAGCAAAGCATTTTACTTGATTCTGTATTGGATAAGCATTGGCCACGTTCATTCAGCCTGGGCGAGTTCGGGTGGTTCCAGTGGATCAGGGGAACACTCCAAATGGCACATCCTTTGGGATGAGGAATGTATGGTTTTCACGATGCACTGCAACCGCCTCTCGTTACTGAATGAAACAGAGGCTGGTTGGCTAAAGAGTAATATACGTCAGCATATTGTTGGCCTGTTTGAAACACGTTGAGAGCATCTTAATTGTTGTTCCAACAGAATTTCATCCATAGTTTGTGCGACTCTCTGTACACTTGCTGAGCTGTTTACGTGCATGTCTGAAAAAGAAGGGCGGGGGGGGAGGGAGGGAAACCGAATGCATGCAATTTTGGTTTGATTTTTTTTTTTTTTTAAATGCTGACAACAAAGGAGTAGTATCTCTATAGCAACACAATAAATTCTATGGCTGCCTTTTCCCCCTCCTGTCCCCAAAGATACCAGAAACCTTAATTTTGCCTGAGATCAAAATGCATGAAGTGGAAGGGAGAGGTATGCGTGAGTGTGTGACAAGAGACATAGAAAATCCCTCCCACTGACTCTTTTTTTTTGTAGGGTACAACCATGTTGCTGCCTGTAGGATCAATTACATAGCCTGACCATCCTTGAGAACTGACGATTTTTTTTTTTTTTAATATATATTTTTTAAACTTGTTCTGTACTTCAAAGGCCTTCTGAGTCATGTTGCAAGCGATACTACTCTCGGCATGTCCATGCATGCAGACGCTATTGAACTGGCTACAATGTTGACCTCATTCTTAGTCCATTCTGTCATTGATCCAATGCTGTACTTTGCATTTTTCTTTTAAATGAAGGTTACGAAATGTCACGGAGCCTTAACAGCATAGCTGGCATAAGTGGAAAAGCGATAGGATTATCCTCAGTGTCTGCGCCCTACAGCTCTCCTAGTCCAGTGAGACGTTCTTGGTCTCCCATCCCATCTATTTTGTAGCATGGATCAGTAGCAGAGAATGGTCTAAAAAGCTTTATTTTCAATTAGCCTATGCTATGTTGCATATAATCCAGGTGACTAAGTCTGAAGATGCAATGTCTCACAGTAGCACCTGCCGGGAATGGTGTTACTACTGATGCTAGGTGACAACACTCCTAAATAGCACTCAGATGACAATAGGCAGGCATTTACGTAGTACTGGTGGGCCATACATGCTGCATGGTATCAGTACATAGGATGAAGGGTAGATGCACCAGATAGTTTCCTTCCTGGTGCATCCTGCTAGTTTATGCTTATTTTGGCTAATGGTGGATCTACTGGCTCTGTATGGAATGGGTTAGGCATTTAGTCGATGCTGAAACATGCCAACGATGGAAGATTTTGCTTTTCTCAGGATATTTTTGAGCCATAGGAACCCTGCAGGAGTTTGAGCAAACAAGCACAGTAGGATGAAACTTTGCATGGGCGCCTATTTTAAGCTGAAAGCAATACTCAGACACACTGTAGAGAGGTCTCAGTCTGGCTGACTGCATGGAAAAAAAAAATCCTATTGAAGAAGAATATGGCTGCCTCTGCATGTAGCTATTTCACCTTTTCCTCCTTCCTTTAAAACTAAGATGCCAAGCTTGATGTGAAAAGCACAGGGAAGAAGCTCAAGTACTGATTGTATTCTTTACATGCAGATCTTTGCAAAGAAAGTCCAGTCATTGCTAAATATATGCCAACAGAGGCAGTCAGAGTGACCTGACAAGGCAAGATGGAGATGAACATTGATGGCTAATAAACATCTGTGTGGAACTGTGCAGGCATAGAAGACCTTCTCATTTGGACAAAGTTAACTCGCTCCATGCAGGTTTTATGGATGATTCTTCGTGGATTTGGAGTTGTGCTAGAGATGCAGGCTTTTTCTACGGCCAAAATGTAACAAAACTGTAGAAGATTTTTTTTTTTAAATCTATTTTTTTTTTGTTCCATAGCATGAATTGCATGAAGACAAAAATTAAAAAAAAAAAACAACAGAAAACAAAAAAAAAAAAAAAAAGAAACACTGCAAATGTATGATTAAGGAGAAAAAAAGCAAAGTTATATATTTTCTTTCAAAGCTCTTTACTTTTACATACATTGTTGTAGCCAAAATGTAAAACATTATAAAACTGTACATTTCTTTGCTATGGATCGCTTCTTTTTGTATACAAGATACAGAGTAATGGTTTTAAAAAGTGCAATCAGGCAGTCATCGGTCATATTGACCACGCCTTCACAGTTCATCACACCAACATGGAAATCAAGAACTTTTAATCCAACTAGAAGTGTATAAAAATAAGAAAAACTTTTTCCTGTCTGTTTTTGTTGGCATGCTTGTGACACATGGGACCTTCCTTCGGACCTGACAGTAACAGCTGGTCTAGATTTAATTTTCCAGCTCTGGTTATGTTGTATTTTATTGATGTATAGCTCCAACGTAAAGACCCTTCATAAATTGTTCATATTAAGTAATCAGTATGAATTTTAAAAAAAAGAGGTGTTATTTTAAAACTGGGACTTATAGTACAAAATCAGGAAAATACTCAAGTATAAATGGTCTCAAAGTTTAAGAAACAAGACAACAGCATTGTATGCAATTTAGTACTGAGTAAAATGCATGCACAATGTTATGCAAAACAATTCTAGCATGAAATAAATTTTGTATCATGGTTTCAGTGCCTGCTGTATAGTGTAAAGGGGAATCCTTTTCTGAAGTGATCAGGGGTTTCCAGAGACTTGCTTCTAAAATCTTGAATAAATACAGTGTTCTCAACAGAAATGTAGGAGAAAAGCTTGGTATTGCTTTGGTTCTACAATGCTAATTTTGGTTAGTAGATAATAAATGAAGCCTGCAAACACTTGATACAACTGATGTCTGAAGAATTCACACCATTAGTAATTTTATGAGGGAAGATTAAAAAACCCTATAATCATCTAGGTATCTTCCTTTTCCCTCCCCAACAATAATAAAAGTTTGTCTTTTTAGCTGATTAAATGAATTCAGTTTTTTCTTACTTCTCTGGGCTCCGTCCTTCACTTGTTCTTCATTGAGCCACAGCAGTCCACCTGATACGAAACTCTGGAAGAAATCCAGGTGTCCAAGTCACATTTCATTTGCCACACAAAACATGCAGCAGTAAGAACCAAGAAACAAGGGGATTAAATTTCATTTTAGATGCTACAAATGACAACTATGGACTACGTGTCAACAGCATTCTAGTTGCTTGAGTGGTTTTTGGTAAAGTACTTCTATAAGGAAGGATACATCTTTATCCTCATGTGAGGAACTTCAAAGGAGCTGACAACCTTCTACGCAAGCGATGGCATCTGTGACTGCTGATAAGAATGGAAATGTAAAGGAATAGTATCCCTATGGTCTGGAGGAAGTAAGAGATTAAAGCCCAAAAACCAGAAGAAACATGTCGCTGGTAAGTGCTAAATTATAAACAAAAAAACAACTGCAGCTGGACCTTGTCTTCACAAAACTCTACTCCAAAAGGAAAATCAAGGAAGACCTCAAGCTGTGTTTTAGGAAAAGAAGAAAAGCTGATAATCTGAATTTGTACATAATTAGAAAACTCCTTTGTAGTCCTTGATGTAGCATTATGTACTTGATTTCTACTTCAGTTGACTATCCTTTCTCCCAAGAACTATTTTTCCTCCAACTGTTTCTATGCTCGTACTCTCAGCTGATAAATGGGCAATTTCTTACCTCCAGAGGTAAGATCCGGGTTAATCCAGGATCCAAAAGCTGCCTAATGAACAACTTTTCCTCTTATAATGTATTAAAAAAATCCAGAAATAGAGTTATCTGCCCCAGTTTTTATTTAACACTAACTCAAGGGCCCAGCATGAAGGCTGTTCAAATCCTCCATTACCATAAGGAATACTATCAATTCAGCCTTGTGAATCCCATGTAGGTCTTCCCCTTCCACTGCGCTTTGCATATATATGAGCCTTAGCTAACAAGTTGGGTACATATGCCCTAAGGCAATTGTCATTCTGTGCTACTTTTTACATCTACCAGTCCTATTTTCATTTAGGTACTCCTCTCAGCTGATTCTGGTTTGAGGTAACCGTGTCTTTCAGGTGATTTCTATAAACTCTTCCCATCCATCGCCTTTCAGGAAATGCTCTAAAGCTTAAGGTCCATCTGACCCCAGAGCTCCCCTTGCACAACAGTGGCAC